TAAATCTTGTGATCCAGTCCTGCGATGCTGAATACGTTGCATCGCTCATCCAGCGCCTGAGGCTTCCGTCGCTTGTTCTCGTTGCCCTTGCGGTCACAGGTGACAGCTGCACCAGCATTCTCAGAGCGCTCAAAGAGCCTACCCGGCCTTTGCTCGCCGGAGTGCAGGTACTGAAACTGTGCGCCGTGGAATGTGCCGACTTCAGTCTCTGGAAATTAGCCCTTGGGACTGCGGATCAGTTGTTCTGGTTGGACGTTGACGTGCGCCGTTGTGGGGGTGCTCAGGGGTGGTGCGGTATGCTGTGCGCCAACACCACGGACGCGCAGAATGGCCGTCTTCCAGAATTCCTGCCCGCCCTCGAGCATCTCTCGGCTGCGGGGCTCAGCGGGAAGCAGCTTCACCGCATTGTGAAAATGCGGATGGACGTCGGCCGACCTATAGCGCAGCTGTTCATGGGCCCGCACGACAAGGTGAACGCGCGAAACCGACGATGGCTACAGGAGCATGTGCCTGATTTCATGTCTCCCGAGGAGCGACGGAAAGACGATGATGCGAGAGTGGGTGGGTCTAATGATTCAGATTACGGGGACGTCGGCAATGGGGAAGGTGGGTTCGGTCTGGGGCATGAAGAACTGAATGTCATTATCCTCATGGGGCACATCTTTTCACGTCGAAAGGCTGCCGCTCGATGATCCGTCGATCTCTCGACGTAAGGTAAGATGAGAACTTGCGCGCATTGCTATTGTATGTTGTATCATGTACATCCGGGTTACCTGAGACAGCCGTAGACTTTTACTGCTCACGATCGACAACGCCGGTTGTTCAGCCGTCCAGATTATGCTGGATATCTTGGCCATAGGCCTCTACCGTACTACCTGCTTCGGAGTTGGAGATACCATGGCCCCTTATCGATTTTTGGCAGCCGTAATCATAAATCATACATTCAGTATTATGGAAAATGCTATCGTACAACAACATCAACTTGAGAGTAAAATTTAGAAATCCGCGCTTTCCTGGTCTCAGCACACTGGTAGATCGTGATTATTGTGTGTATCCGTCGTGATCATAACACTGTGTTGTGGCTGTTGTGGCCATCTCGGCTACAAACTGGACCTGCAGAGCGTGTGTGTTTGTATGAGGTTCTGCTCCTCCGCTTTGGTCGATACTAAGCAGGACATTGTCCCCTATATAATCAATTGGGCCGTGGGACTTGAGATGATTGCGTATATTGAGTCTTGAATCCGGATCCGTCGTCATCAGGTGAGTTCCAAGGTTAGTGACGAAGGGCTCACAAAGCAAGAAGAGAATTGACATATACTATAAAGATCGACAGACGTATCGTAGAACAATGCATAGGGACTTACACTTGCTGCCCAAGAAGTAAAACACAAGCCAGATCAAATTTAACGGTTTTGCATGTAAAGTGCCAAGGAACTATGCCACCGTCAGCAAGACAATCAACAGGTGGTTGTCGAATCACTTACCGTAGCAAACGGGAGGACCTGTATAAGACTTGATATAGGTTAACCTCATGGTAACGCCACTCTGACTTGACGGACATACGCAACAACTACTCCTCGGTGTACGATGTAGAAAACAAGCCGCGTTATAATATGGTTTGTGCTGTACTCCCCGTCAGTTGCGCCCGTATTCTTTGGGTACGGAAGGGAAACCTGTACATACCCGTGGAACCCGGTCCTTTTCCCATGTAAAATGAAGGAAAATGAGATTGCGATGTAGACGTCCGCCACTGCAGCCGTCAATGTGTGTACACACATAGGTAGCTAGATATATGCGCGTCATCATTTATCGTTGACTTGATTTACACCGAACAAATCCCAATGCTCCCAAGGGAATCCACTATCTCCGCAGTTTGCGCTCTGCGAAAGTCCCTGAGTATTCTGAACAGCATTAGCTGGGGTACAATCGAACTGACTCACAGATTGTGAACAGTGCCTGCGATCGGTGATCGATGGTCAGCTGTTTTCAATAAAATACGCGTAGGTGCCTGATACCAATGCAAAAGCCTACCGGACACGAGCATAAACTTCATAGCACACAGTGCAAAGTGATAGAGCGACAAACCATAGGATACCAGACACGTTAATCCCTAAACAACGGCTGCCAAATTACTATATGCATAGTACAGATTCTCGAGACGTACCATAGTCATAGTCAGAAGTACTTGGTACCATCGGTGATCAATAACTGTTTTGCAGGAGGTAAGCGATAGGCCAGCGCATAGGTACAGGACTTACTTCTCCGTATGCAATCAGTGAAGTAGCTGTGGGCAGGGTCTATGTCGCTCGATTTCCGCCGTCAATTGGAAAGATCACACACATTTGTACGATCAGAATAGTGAGGCCCTAAGTACCACCAAATTGTAATCTGTGCGTAGTGAATAGACATTATGTCGCACCTCCAGGAAGACATCAGCCTTCAACTGGAATATCAACGAACTGTACATAGACATATGTGTCAGCGACATACCAGGAGGTCCCTGACGATCTTCCGTAAGCGTGCGAGTCAGCATGAAGATGTAATTTCAGTATGATATGCGACATTCCAAGCCCAGGTGCACTGAGTGGAGCTTAAGCGCTGATAGGCGCCAAGCCCCTCTGGGCCCCGATACACCTCTTTTCGGCAGTCGCATCCCGCCCGGCACTTCGACTCAGTCTCCCAACACTTCGATTTCGCCTTCGACGCTCTTCGACATCTTCGACGGTGCGCGACACTTGCTCGAAGCTCGGCACGGTCGTCCCGATGCCTCGCGCATAGATCTCGGGACATCTCCCGCATTCGGCGAACAATAGGGCCACTTGACGCCACTCGGCCAAGCGCGTGCATCGCTCCGAGCCACACCGACGTAGCCGGTCTTTCCCGATTAGGTATCAAACCTCGCAGCATGCCTTCAACGACGGACACCGGTCCGAAGTGTCTCGTATGTTTCTCTTCATCTCCGCGTTCGGCATGACGTCACTCTACCGATGAACTTGATATGTGCCCCTCGGTGAGGCAGCTTCTTGAGGAACAATGCAAAGCCCCTTGTACTTGTGCCACTTTCGATAGTCGTAGCGTCCTATGCGTAGTATAAATTCTGTCGTACTTCTCTCCAAAAATACAAGATCCGGTTCCCCCCTCGAGTTCAGAGCTCATAAGCCGAGTTCGCCCCGCGTCTAAGCCTCTAACTGCGTCACTTCGTCCCTCGCTGCGTAACCTCGAAACCTCGTCCACTGCGTTTACTCGTCGATACCGTCTCGACGAACCCTTCGACTTCGACTATTGTCGAAGAAACTGCGAACCGCGTCCTAGCTAAGTCCCCCCTATCGAGTCGTGTCCCTTCCTTCTACGATACATCGAAGAGCTCTGCCGAGCTTCGATCCTCTCCACTAACCATCCACAGCCTCCGAGTAGCTTCGACGACGTGTCGAAGCCACCTCGTACCTTCCCCGTTGTTCGTAGCCTTTTCCAAGGGTGTTTCTCGTGTTCACTCGAACCGCGGGACACCTTGCTGCTAACTCCCCTCTCACTAGACTATAATCCGTCTCTCTAGTCCCTTTAGGTCGCACCCAGGTTAGGGGTTAGGGTTTCGTAGGTCGTATCAGCGCGTCTTGGGAAGAAGTCTCATTCTTGTGATGCTCACTGAGACCCATATTATAGTTCTAGCTGTGTCCAATAGCCTGAAAACGATGTGGATGGAAGGGTGATGCTTGTATGACAATCTAGCACACACCGTAGTGAGGCCACCTGAAGGAGATCATACAGGTCAGATAAAGCGGTATCCCAGCGGCACGTCCGGACACACACGAGGAACTTTAGTCTTGTATGATCCATCAGATACCGTCTCATATAATACATCACTTGAGCGCAAGTGACGCCATAGAGACTGTAAAACGAATTGTCAATCGACGTGATCCAGATTCAATAAACCCGCTCACAAGGTGCTAAGAGTGCCACCGATGAAAGTAGCGCGAGTGGTACTGTTTAATCGTGTGTTCAAGCTCATCGCGGATGAGGAGGTGCCCCACAAAGCATACAGTAAATTTCTTATATGGGGCTTTTGAATCAATCACGAGAAAGAACTCATCAGTTTGATCGAATGAGAATGAATAGGTCCTATCTTAAGGAATCGCAGAAACCATATTTGCATCTATCAAAAGCATTCATCTCAGAAGATGAGAGCATAGTCACTACCCTGCCCGTGAAATCTTCACTTTCTGCATCGAAAGCGACATGATCTTCCTGTATTGGATCACAACTGAAAGCAGATGCAGCGCAGGGCCCCGCCAGCTCGCACTCTGTGCTGTTTAGAGAGCCGCTGGTGGCGATGCACGAGAATAGTCAGCTGGTAGTCAGCTGTCAAGTTGATACACGATTGTGACCTTCTCTATATATGCCGGAATGAATTTGAACAATCCGTATTGCACAATACGGTGCAGACAGCCGGGCTTGATATCGGTCCTCATGATTAGACCAACTACGCAAGAGCACTCATAGTGAAATACTCAGCTATAGAATGGGGCGTCCATCCTGGACAGCTTTACTAGTCGAAAACCGTCTGATGTGTTACTTCAAAGTGTGAAATTGAACACAATCAACATGTCGAGGGGACCCGTCATGGTGATTGCGAAGAAAAATAAATTAGGGCTGCTCACCCCTTGTCCCTCGCTTGATCGTTCGTGTATTGTCACGACTGAGTGGTTCGTGCAAGTTCAAACACTGTGTACTTAGTTCGACAATTGTCTTCTACCTGACAGCTCAAACACTGTGTTCGTACAAGACGGTGAGATCCCAGGCCGTGTGGGTTGATATGCCGGTTGTGAAATCCCGATCTTTCAGGTGGAGCTATGGCTGCGGATAGAATGTCAGAGCGGCTACCACCATACAGAGTCGGTACAAGTTTGGCTGATGCTCGATGGCAACGAGGGCACCAGGACCCGTGATAATCAGTGAACACAATGATAAATCTTTGTACCAACAGAATGGGGTTGTGCCGTGCCTGGCTCAGAAGCCCGAGCTCAGGGCCTGCGGCATCAGTTCAGAGCTCCGGTGCCACACCTTATTTGCATCTCGTGGATGCAGGAGACACAAAAACATATCTTGACAAATGGTTTGGATGTCTTCACAGTGTTGGGGACTCCATGGTGAGGTGTAAACGTTCTCCGTATGTCAGGGAGAATAGGCACTTCATGCTGAATGACTGTCTCTGTCCTTGAGTATCTCGAACGGTGTACTCACCTTCTCTGCTACTGTACCCCTAGCTACTTACTGCAATACAGGCTCCTTCTAATGACCCCCCACGCGCTCGATGTATAGCAATCAGCCGCTGTGCATAAGCTGTGAGAAAGCCATGGCTCAAGCTCGAGCCAAGCCCGACTGGGCTCTCTGAAGCCAGGTCAAAGCCATTGTTTTCCAGCCAAATGAAGCCAGGCACAACACTAAGGCTCCAACCATTTAGTTTACATTTACAGCCAAAGCGTAAATAAACAGTAAATAGTAAACAGATGGTTTAAACTGTTTGCAAACAGTTTTATATAGCTATAAAGTACCTATTATAACTTAAGCAAACCTTCCCTAATCCAATGCTTTGTGCACATAGCTTGTGTGATAGTATCAGCTTTTAAAGAGCTTCGAGTATCAGTGCAAAGGTGACGTGAAGACGAAAACAACTGTTCTACTGCCACACTTGCACCAGGAATAGCCAAAAAGTCTCGTGCCATCTGGGAAATGACAGGGATTTCATGAGCATGTGCCTATAGCAAATGACAGGGTGTAAGAATTGATTCAATAGCTGAATGGCTAGAAGGACTTACTTTCCACCAAATGAGAGGGTAATAAGTGTCTCCCTTGCCACCTTCACCATCCTTCCAATGATCTAACTCAGATCTTACAGGAGCAGACCCTTGCTCACCTGCAAAGTCAACAGCTGCAGACAATGAGTCAAGAAAGCTTGACTGTTCTGCTGAGGCTGATGAAATAGCAGGAGTGTCAGCTGGTATAGGAACATCCTTTTGGTACTCCTTGAACACGTGTTCAAATGATGCCCATGCTTTGTTCTTCTCTTCAGCACCTAGGCAGGAAAACCATGCCTGTCGCAAAGCAGGATGGCAAACTACACAAATTAGTATCCACTCAAAGATACAATGTATAACTCACTAGTTGAAATTCTGTTATATTGACAAGCCAAAGCTTTAACATGATACTCACTCAACTTTATCAAACCAGCATGTGCTGCTGATCTAATTGAGGCCAGAGTGGCATCACCAATGGTCCTGACAAGAGCCTTCTTCATGTGCTCGTACATGGGAAGAACCCATGAAAGTGTGGGTGTATGAGCCAGAAACATCGTACGAGTGACAAGTACAAATTCCTGCTCAATATGCTTGTTAATAGCTGTAGGCAATCAAAAGATAACTCATACCCCTAGTAGGCTGGACAACTGCTGAAGAAGAGACCATTCATCAGGGGAAAGCATCAGAGCCTGAAGGTCATCTCTGTCTGCTACCCATGCATTGATTGCCTAAAAGTGTATCAGTGTCCGAATCACAAGGAGAATAGCCCAACTTGCATTATGAAGGAGTAGTGCCCATTCAATCATAGCATGAGTACAATTCCATCGAGTGACCACATCTCAGACTGGCATAAGTGTACTGAGGTCCCCACCATTTGGGCTGGTTTTACCAGTGTAGAAATGATGTGCATGCTTGCAGAAAGATGAGTGTCGCTGAGGTGAGCTTACAATTTTCCGAACTGTCATCTGCAGCTAACAATACAAAAGTACTCAGCAGAAATGTTCGAATAATACTACAGTGGGCTCACCTTTTGTACTGGAGTCAGTCCGCTGGGGATCACATCACCAGCATGTGACAACACTACAACAGATTGTTTGAAGATTGAATGGGTGCCTTCCTGCAGGATCTGGATGCAAGCCGGACTCTGAAACAGACTTGTCCCTGGGGCGTGCCCGACAGAGCGTCTCTCACGACATAGAACTGCAGGCGCCCAACCGTGCACCAGGGTCACAAACCAACGTTGGTGCGCCCACTAATCACATAAGCTTCGGATCAATGATATATATTGGGAAAGTTTTACACATGGTCTACCTACTCGTACAAAATATAAAGCTGCGCTCTCGTACTATGGTTAGGAAGGAGTTGCTCATGGCCGCATTCGCAAGCCTCGGGTTCACAAACCACTGGGTCTTTTTTCATGATTCTTGCGTCAATCGATGCGTTGGGATCTTCTATACCACTGTAAATATCTTGAGCACAATACAATAAGTGGTGTTTGTATCGGCACAAATCCGCAAGGACGACTCGTTTTGGGGGGGTAATAGGCATAGAGTTGCTCAAATCATCACGGCATGTCACGGCGACAAGTTCACACTCCGACGCAGTAACACCCGCTAGCAGCGAGACGAGCATGGTCTTGCAGACACATCTGTGCGACATGCCGAGCAGAGTCTAAACCACAGTCACATCCAGCCACAGGAGCAAGATGATCTCATCCACTATGCTTGTCTACATTGTACCTCAAGTGCTATAAAGTATCAGGCTCATCAATATACATATATATTAATAGAGAATGAAGATTGAAAGCTTCCGGGATGAAATTCTCATCGCAATCGGGTGAGATCTGGTTCGATATTTGAGTACACTGGTGTCGAAATGCCTTGTCGAGCATGCTACTCTTTCCACATTCCTGATTTTTTCATTTCGGTGCCATGGGTGCATCCATAGGGACTATATACACTCTCACAGATTTTCTGGGATTTAAAATTAAAATGTGGAAGGCTGTACAAGGCGGTTTGAGTAACTCTATGCCTTGAGAAACTCCCTACCCCCCATAGTATGTACGAGCATGAATGCTGTGGACGGCTGGTATCAGGAGCCCTGCGGGAAGGCATTCATTACAGAACGAAACCAGCGTATGCCGCAACTAGAGTGATCCCGGGGTCCTGTCGTGCACCTCACCGCTGATAATCGCAACTCTAAAGTCCTCACGAGCTAGTCTGCGTGTCGCATGTGTTCTACACTTACTCTCTTCATAGCCTACCTCAGGTCCGCCCGCACAGTACGGATCATTCAGCTTCCTAGGTTTCTTCTTAAACTGTTTCTACCTTTCTATACTAACATGGTCACCGAACGTTTCCGTGCCAACGTCTGTACCAGACAGAAGTCGTGTACTTCGCTCGATTCCACTGGGAGCTACAGAACAGCCATGACAAGCCATCAGAACATAGGCTTGCGACGCTTCGGACGAGGAGGGCGCGCGAATGCTACACCGCGATTGCAGCCTCTTCCGTGCAGAACAGTGCTGCTCGAACCAGCACCGGTGTCGTCCAAGACCACATCCTCGAGCTCCACCGAGTCACCCTCCTCAGGCTCAGACGTCTCCACGTCGTCGGCAGTGAAGTTAAAGACCATCGTCGCGCTGATGTCGTACCTGACCCGAGGTCCATACCTGGGTGCAACCTCGACGACGACAGAGGACTCCTCCGACCAAAGAGCATCAGAGTCGTCAGCGGCCTCCATGTCCGCATCATCGCAGAGGTCTTCCAACGCGGAGTCAGCATGCTCATCGAGGATGTCTTCCTCGTCACGCTGGAGCTCCTCGTGTTGTGCGGCCACAATGTCGTCCATCATTTGCGGAAGCTGCTCTTGGAGCTCCTGCAGACGCACCTGTGCATTGGCCCGAGCCTCTGCCAGCTCCGCTCTGAGATCCGCGTTGCTCTCCCGGAGCTCACGGATCTTCCGTCGGTTGTCCACGACCTTCGCAGAGAAGTCCTCCTCGGCCTTGCGCTTGTCATTGTCCAACTGCGCCCGCTGAGTCTCGAGCTGGGCCTTCTCAGCCTTGACACCGGAGTCCAGTTCCTGGAGGCGAGTACGCTTCTCCTCGAGACAAGCGGCATGCGCCTCGAGCTCTGCGTTCCGACGCTCGAGTTCCGCGTTGTGCTCCTTAGCTGCGTTTATCTCCTGCTTGCAAACGGCATTCTTGCTCCTGAGTTCTCGCACCTTCTTGAGGTCCGCGTTGAGCTGCTCAGTCTGACCAGTCGATGCAGCAAGCTTGATCTCGAGGTCTTTGACCTCCTCCTCGAACGTCTGCTGTGCGAAGTGTGCCTCCACGCGCTGGAACTCTGCGCTACCCTTGACAGCGTCCATCTGCTCCGCGAGCTCCTTGCAAGACCGCATAAGCCCGAGGACCTCCACGGCCTTCGCACGGCGCGTCGTAGAGATGGCCTCGAGTTCAGCCTTTGCCTCTCGTAACGCCACCTCCAGAGCCTCCTTGTCCGCTCGGTCCTGGCTCACGGACTGCTCGAGATCCGCGCAGAGTGCCTTGGACTTCTTGAGGTCCTCTTCCGCAGACTGCAGCGCGGCCCGAGTGATCTCAAGTTGAGAAGACCTGTCGTCCAGATCGGCCTTCAGTGCCTTCTCCTGGTTCGCGGGCCCTGCAACCTCAGAGTCGCGCTCGCGCTACAATAATCGTATGAGTAAATGCAAGAAGCAACGAAGAATACCACTGACCCGAGTCCGTGCAATGTCCTCGCGAAGCCGCTCGATGACCACATCGAGCTGCTGTTCCGCGTGCTCCTTCGACGCCAATTCCTCTCGGGCCAGCTTCGCCTCAGTCTGGAAGAACGTTCAGGTGATTCTCACAAATCCAAATCGAAAACGCACCTGAAGCGCCTCCTTCTCGCGCTGCAGCCGCTCACGCGTACTGTCACGCTCGCTCTCCGCCTGCTTCAGACTCTCCTCAAGCTCCTCAAACTCTCTACTCTTGTCGCCGGACGTCTTCCGGGCACACTCGACCGTCACCTTCAAAGCGCGAATTCGATCGTCACCCTCACGACGAAGGATATCCAGCGACGCCTGTTTCGAGATGTCACTAGCCGCAGATATATATCAGAGAGTAGAACATACCTCGAACGCCGCCTTCTCCTTCTGGAAGCGCTGAGCGGCCTCCTTCTGAGCGGCTTTGATCACAGCAATGTGCGCCTCGAGCTCTTGCACCCGTCGAGACTTCTCCTTGCCATCTTGACGCGCGGCGGACGCCTTCTCCTCGGCCTGTGCAGCGGCTTGACGGATGGCTGGAAGCTGCATCACAAGCTTGCGGTTGCGCGCCTCGCGTTCCTCGATAACGGCTTTGTTGCGCTCATGTTGACGGTGTGCAGCGGCGAGAGCCTCCTCGAGCTTCGTCACCCGAGCATCCACGACCACAGCAACCGAGGGCGCGTGCACCGCGATAGACCCGTCGTCAACGGCCGTCGCATCCGCTGCCTTGTTGACCGCGCTCTTGTGGTCCACCACACCGAGCTTGTCCACGTAGCTGAGACCGGAGCCCGATGCCTCAGCGCCGATAGCGCCTTCGCTAGTGCCGGAAGCGTAGGCCCATCCGATGCTTGCTGGTTGCTTTCCCTTGTGCGGCGAGTTGAGGTTTTCCTCGTCCTCAGACTCTGAACCACACGACCAGTCCGACTCGCTTGACCAGCCAGACTCATCGTCCGACTGCAATCCTCGTCAGGATATCTGTACTCCGTATTATCACCCAGGAAGCTCACCGATGTAGAATACGATGGAGACGGGGCAAGGTCACTCCGCGTCGCACAGCAACGGCGGACCGACTTCTCACCCGCCCAAAGCCCAGTATACACCACGCTAGACGATGCAAAGCCGTAGCCCATGTACCAAGGGATGTAGACAGCCCCCCATGGTATGAGCCCGCCATCGAAGAGCACCACAAGCCAGAATATGTTCGTGAAGTTGACAACCCACAGGACCACTAGACGGGCAATGAACATCGTCTTCTTGCCGTAGCCTGCCAGTCGGGACAGTTGCTGCCAAAAACCCTCGCGTCCAAGGCGACCCAGTTCCTATGCAGTGTATATCAGCATACATGCGCGATGAGTCGAACATGGACTCACCGATGGAGATAATGCCAAATGCATCCAAGGATCGAGAGAACCAGACGCCGACCGGCGACGTCCGATAGACCGGCTCCATGAGTACCGCAACATGGCATTGATCCAGAACACCGAAACAGGGCCGCACATCCAGAACACGAGTCGCCCAAGGCCGCGTTGCTGCATAGATTGAGGTCTTGAGGTCTTGACAAGCCCGACAGTGGAGGCTCCGCCGACACAGAGGACGAGGAACCAGAACACCAGAGAGCAGACCCAAGGATTGGATGTACCGCTACCACGCGTACCAGACACGGAGACATGCACCCCAACCCAGACCAAAGACACAAGCAGCGACCAGTCCAGTACCACGGACGGCACGCAGATCATCCCGAGAACTGACAATGAAGTCGTCCCAGACAGAAGACCAGCGCGCAGAACCAGAGTTGTTGCGCGGCGAAGACCCAACCGCGCGAGGACCTTGGATGCCATGCACAAGAGGACAAGGAAGTAGACCACCTGAGCGAGCAACCAAGGACCAGAGGGGCCATAAAGACCCGCGTCGCCCAGGTCGGCGCGACCCCAGAGCGGGGCCGGCACCTCGCCGAGCGACGCGAGCGACAGGCTGCGAAAGCGCAGGAGCTGATGGCTAGCCCCGACACTCCCGTTGCCCATCGCCCACTCGGACTCGTCAAGCCCGAGATTTAGACAGAAACCGGGAACCGTACCATAAACCATGTATGCCATGAGGAAAACCAGGTTGGGCGGCCTTGCTCTCGTATATAGCCCGCGGCTGACACGGCTGACGAGGCTGGCATGTCAGCCTCGCTGGACGCTCCATGCTCTGTTTTCAAGTAGTGATCGCGGCTGGCGATGTCTGTCCATGACCGCAGAGATTTGTCCACCAAAAAGTCTACTCTTCGTCTAGAATATGTTCTGCTTCATAGTTGTTGGTGAATGAAAGCACAGTGACGGCTGATATGCTGCCTGCGCATTGTGCCGGTGAACTGTCATGGTCGAGCGACTGAATGGCTTGGACCGAGTCTGAAGATCCGAAGACGACTTAGTGAGCACGATGCTGAGGCAATTGGACGTCTGATTTCGAGGAGAGATGAATGGTCGGAGGAAAACATCAGCTGCCGGCGCCTGCGCTCGGGCGATCAAATTCGTCGGATTTTGCAAAGGCTGGTTGCAACCCTCACCCCAGGCTCCTTCCCGCCGCTGTGGGAGTTATAGGGGCTCAATCCGACAAATTTGACGCAAGCTAAGTCCTGCAAACCCATCCGCCACACTTGCGCCACAATCCGGCTACATCCGAGGCAAGATCAAACTCCGAATCCCAACCTTAAACCCCCATAACTCCCTACAGCGGCTGGCACAAAACATCTACAAACAGCGGAGGAGCGGCGCATGTCACCTAGATTAGGAAGGCAGGATACTGGCCCATCATTACATAATCGTTACGGTCCCGTGTATTACAGTAGCGTTTATGTGTCCCAGTGTCGAGTCTCGTCGTCCTCGGTGCAACTTTGTGACCATGGCCTTCACCCCTCTAATAAAAATTTTATACCTGGCTTTGACACAGATGCGCGCATCCCTGCCGAGGTTAATTTTCATCCTTCTGACTGGTGAAGGCCTCATGCAACATCCCTTCGTTGAATAACCCATCCTTGGCCTGGCTGGCACTTCAAGTTCAGCACTCTCCATGCACCTGCGACCCAGGTTCTCGACTTTTGCACTGATAATGTGGCTTCCAAGATGCAAAGTGTTGCAAACAATGGGCTTTCTGCGCGTCGTTGTTACATTCACTCATGGGGGTTGCGATGACCTCAATTGACGAAATTGAAATGTTTGGATGTCAATTATCATTTCCGGGAATCAATCCTGCCTCGTATGGGAGGTGCGGCGCCGGTCCTCCGCTGTTTGTAGATGTTTTGTGCCAGCCGCTGTAGGGAGTTATAGGGGATTAAGGTTCAAATGGGATGTCACATGATATGCACGTGATGGGTTGGCACATGATCTGTGGTAAGACTTCTATTCTCGGATACACAAGATAAAACATTGAGTACGCTATTCGGATGAAGTCCCCTATAACTCCCACAGCGGCGGGAAGGAGCCTGCCCTCACCCCCAATCCGGCTTTGAGAGCCGACTGTACCGCTCGCTCGTCTTCCCATTGAGCTTTGGACGTATGGATACTTCTACGAGGGTCTTCACACTGGAAATCTGCGTCTCTTGAAAGTGCTTGACAATTTTCCGAATCTGCGTCAGCAGATGGCCCATTGGCCTGGCCTGGCTTCTTTGGGTTTGCCTCTCATCGCAATGGGCGAAGTGGTTTGTCGTAAGAATCAGGCTTTCGAAAGCAGCGTAGCTGTTGTCACAATGAATGGATACGGAGGACCTACCCCTCGAGTTCATAGGTATCTCAAGAGCCTTGTGAGTGTCTCACACTCGAATGAAAGGTTGACCGGTCTGGACATGGTCATGCAGTACGTCAATCGATGGATTGTCCTTGCATTGTCCAGTTCACAATGTACCAGTTGAGACGTATCGTTCAGCCCCCATGGGCAACGAACAGCCCGGCTCGACGATAGATCTCTTACTAGCCCCATCCGTTGCGTCGGGTCTTGTCATCCTCTACACAGAGGTAGCGCCAGTATGTATTGTTCTCAGCATCTAGACGCATGTCGGACGATCTGTTTCCATCAGCTGACGTACGTGCGTCTTCGAGGCTATAGATGTGGGTGGGCTTTTACGCACCTCGAGGATGGTGTCGTCTTCCATCGAACCTCACTTCGCCTTTGCTTGAGCTGAGTATTCCACTCTTGGCCAATGTTGATCCCCAACGCATTTGTTTTGTCAATCTGAAATGGAGAGTGATGGTCGTATTCTGCGACGCCACCATGCACATACGCCATGCACATCCTCGATTCTCAGTGAAGATGCATGAATGTCACCAGAATGCAGTCAGCGATCTCAACCTGTCCAGAGACATTCTGTTGGGCTTGTGGCACCGGCGACTCACATTCATCGTCAAGCTGCGCGGCGATAGTCTGGGCGCGGGAGGCGGCTTGACGATGTCCATCAAAGTGAAGCGCGCCGCGAGCTCATCGTCTATGCAAAATATGAACATTTGCGCTGTCTGTGAGTGCTCAACATTTACGAGACCATACGTGATTCTGGCACACTTCACAATCCTCAGAGTGCTCAAGCGGCCTACCCGGCCTTTGCTCACCGGAGTGCAGGTACTGAAACTGCGCCCTGGAATGTGCCGACTTCAGTCTCTGGAAATCAGTCCTCGGGAGTGCGGACCACATCGCCTAGCTGGATGTCGACGCGTGCCGTCGTGGGGGCGCTCAGAGGCGGTACGGTATGCTCTGCACCAATACGACGGACGCGCAGAATCGCCGTCTTCGAGAGATTCTGCCCTCCCTCAAGCATTTCGCCGCCATGGGGCTCAGTGGGAAGCAGCCGCACCGCATTGTGAAAGTGCGGATGGACGTCGGCCGACCCATCGTGCAGCTGTTCATGGGCGCTCACGACAAGGTGAACGCGCGAGACCGACGGTGGCTATAGAAGCATGTACCTTTTTCATGTCTCCGGAGGAGCGACGGGACGACGATAATGCGAGAATGGGTGAGTCTGATGACTCAAATAATGGGGACGTTGACAACAGAGAAGATGAGTTCCGTCTGGTGCGGGAAGAGCTGGATGGTTTCATCGCTCTGGGGCGCTTATGTTCACGTCGAAAGGTTGTCGCTTGACAATCCGTCGATCTCTCAATGTAAGGCATGCGCACGCAAGGTCTTCTAATGTACATGATAGTGTGAATACAGCACTAGACTACATCGGGCGTACCTGTCCAAATCCAGTAGTCAGAGCCAATGGAGTACTCGAAAGCCTTAGATACTCACCAGCAGCAGGCAGCGAGGTAGGGACCTCCGGATTCACTACGTCATTTGATACTTCGCCTTCTGGGAGTGCGTGGTAAGACTTGACAACTTCATTCACCATTTCACCCACCAATGTCGGGGAGACGGAATTCGTCTGGGAATTGCATTGGGGCGCTGGGGCTGATTTCCGCCAGTTCGAAGGAAAGTGATTCTGATAAAGTTCCCAGCATGTCGGCTAGATGAAAGACGTGGATAAAATGTTCACACGCAGATACCAGATAGGTTACTTACAGAGCCTATGTATGATACTCCGAGTCGAAGTTGTGGTGTTTGTAACGTCTGTACTATGTCCCGCAACAGCCTCCCTAGCTTCTTTCCGGACGGCCTGGGTGGTGTTCTGCTGGGATGTTAATCATCTCATAATAATAACAAAACGGTGTCTGCACACCATCAGATCCTGACGAAGTTCAGAGATTTCCTCCATGTGAGCACAGATTTGGGATTTCAAGGGGTTCCATGATTCTGGTCGTGCAGGCCCATATTGGGCATATTTACCAGCATCCTGCAACATCAAAGATAGTTGAGGCACGAACATGCCCACGCTGCCATCCAGAATGTGTCAGCGCGGCTGAAAGGGTGCAAAATACAACGTGATCACTTTTGAATAGTGGTCTTGGTATTCTCTATAAAGCCTGGCCGACCCAAGCGCTCTTCGACTAGCCGACGCTCGTCTTCGTTAATCCCGTTTATAAAAACAGTCATATCCGCGAGTGTCGTCCGTATATGATCCAGTCGCTTGGAGCTCGAGTATCGTCTCAGTATCGCATACAACCCGCCCCCAGCGATCAGGCTGACTGCTCCGGTGGCGAGGGCAGCGACAGTGCCAGCGTCGGCGACGGCACCGGGCCAAGGTGTCATTGTCGAGATAGAGCGTTGCGAGGTGGCAGATAGGAAAGGCTTAGACGACGGACGGTTGACTTACGGTGGCCAGGCTTTAAATACGCTCAAATGCGCCAATGCGTTGCCGCTTCACGGGGCTTCTAGACTGGGACATCAACTGCCGAAATGCCCGTGACGGTCAACGGACTTTTGCAATCATGGCAAATCTAGTCTGCCGAGTTGGATCTGCTAGTAGCTGGACATATCACCCGATTGATATCATGATCAACGAGTGCCTTGAAGTCGTGATCCGTGCCGTGCTCATCTGTGGGTCCGTATTTTGATCTATTTGTCCACATACTTGAATCTCCGCACCTCCTCTCAGTCAGTCACAGCGAGGACTCTCATCTGGCGGGCATGGCTGTAACACCAGAGGAACGTCGAGCTGTGCTCGTAGAGTCGCATCGCCTCTTCTCAAAGCGTTCTAATCTGGAGCTAGAATGGGTGGATCGGCAGAAATTCCTCCAGTCGCGTGGCTACATGTTGCGTTCCAGATACCGACCTGAATGGGTGCCTTCATGGCAAGGACTGGACAAATTGCCGATCGAGTGTGAGGACGGGATACTACTTCCTGTGAGTCATCGTATGTCATCGAAAAAAGCCGTATCCTATCATACTGGCTGTAGCTACGTCCGGAGCTCACCGACGCTACGAGGATTAGTGACGGGAAGCTCGTGTACATCAAGAGAGTCAAGACGGGGGACCAAGAATCCAGAATCGCTACAATGCTCTCGTCTCCACCTCTGCTTAACGACCCGGCTAATCACTGTGTGCGTGTCCTGGACCTGTTCCAGGACGAAGACGACGCTGCAGTGTCATACATGGTCATGCCTTTTTTACGCCTTGTGGATGATCCGCCATTTGAGACTGTGTGGGACCTGCTGGACCTTGCGACCCAGCTATTAGAGGTCAGTGCGAATGACAGTCGTAGAGCTTGCCGTGACATTCTCTGCAGGGCTTGGTCTTTCTGCACAAGCACGGCGTTGCCCATCGGTAACCCCTTTTCTCGTCCTATTGCCGCCAATAGCGCAAGCTGACATTCTCCGGTGTTCCAGAGATTGTTCGTACAAGAACCTGATGATGGATGCTGATGCGTTGTTCCCAAACGGTTTCCATCCTATTCGCAAATTCTCCCTTCCGGATGGATTTACACCAGCACCTTGGCGCTCCCGCAAGGACATGCCAATCAAATACTACTATGTCGATTTTGGTATATCTGTTCAGATCCCGCCAAATACGCATGCGAAACTGGCAGTCGGACCATATGGGAGGGATCAGGAAGTGCCTGAGCTGTCTGCAGACATTCCGTACGATCCATTCAAGGTCGATATCTTCATCATCGGGAACTTCTTCCGTCGCAATCTCTACGACGTAGGCGCTATGCTGTTTAATGAGTCGCCATCACTGAGACCTGATATAGGTTTTTTCAAACGTGGATTTCTTCCTCCCGCTGATCGAGTCCATGACTCGTCGGCGGCCTGAATCGAGACCAACTGCTGAGGAGGCTCTTTCCCAGTGGCAGATAATCCGTGAGCGCGTCTCGCATGTCCACCGGGCTTGGAGACCGCGACGTCGTGATGAATTTTGGATTGAGAAGGTGGCGTACGATACCTACTCCCTTTTCGAAGGGATGTACCGCGCTGGGAAATGGCTTTTCAATCAGGCATCGTCGGGTACTTAGCTATTTTTGCCATTAAATGCTCATTGCTATCCACCATTATTTCGCGCACGGAATCGCATGCGACTATTGATATTCACTAGGGATTTTATTTATGTATTGTATGGAACCAATCGATGCAGGACGTCTCGTCGCCGTTATCCCCCCTATGCGTGCATCCTTCACCGATGACCGTCACGGCGCCCACTATTGCACTTCACACACAATGACCGTTAGTGAGCAAGACTCTGCTTCGACTTTTCGATGGCCCTTTCCAAGCTAGCATGTCGACGATCTCGCCTCTGGACCCTAGATGGGGCACGACAAGCAGCATTGAATTGGATAGCACTAATATCAATAGAGTGCATACGGTGAGTGCTTCTTATCTCACGATGGCCGTGAAGAAGGACAGGAAGGCGGAGGAATTGCACCATGGTGGGAATTGAGCGACAGCAACACCGTAGCATCTGTGAGATTTCAGCATCATGCGGTTTATCGGACATACAGGACTGTGGTCCACCCCGACTTCGTGATTTCGGAAGGACGGTATCATGAGAGATTCAATTGACAGCGGCGATCGCTCATGTGCACGATATCAGACCTATGCGAAGAAATGGAGACGTCGTGTTTTACACGCTGCTAGGACGTGGTGGGATATGAAGGAAGATGACTGATGCCCTACCGGACACGTTGTAACCGTCGGTCCTCGGAACATTTGAATCATTGCGAAGACCACTACGAAGACGCACATTAGATACTGTTCCGAAAGTGGTACTACCGCTTTCGGAACAGTGTCTAATATGCGTCTTCGTAAAGGTAGCACCTACGCTGACGCCAGCCATACCCTGAGTTTACGCATGTTACGCACCCGCAGCTCTCAAACATCGAGTCGGTTGTCCGGCGTGATTTTCGTAAGGACGCTCGGATCGACCCTGAGTTTATCGTTGATCAGCAGTGCGCACCGGGCCTCGGGCTTGGCCTGCTGAGCCTTCATACCAGAGTAGACCTACTGGGAACGTTGGTCTCCGGGCGAGCAATCTGTGCCTCGATTGCCGCATTCCGCTGCTCGTGCTCCGCATCGTGCACAACTGGCGGCCGTATTCTCTACTCGTAGATAGCATGCTTACTTTTGAGACCCTGCATCTGTGTTGCTCACCTTTGAGATGTCGCGGTGAATAGTGCTCCCAAAAGATTAACGCTGATTTAAGGTTGCACAACGAGCATAAGATTGTACGCTTTGTGCGCCTCGATGAGCTTTGTGCAGCGGCCAGTGCATTGTTGATCCTTTCCACCGGGGCATCTAGCGCCGGGGCATTCTCCACCACCCCCGGCTGCTATTGCGGTGTTCCGCGGATCCTTCTTGCTATGTGAACGCTGTCTGCGCTGCTGAGAAGACCACGCGTATAAAAATGGGGGTGTCTACTTGAGGGAGCCCGTGCTTTGATTTCGATAAGGCATCAGGAAAGCGGGATGCAAAAAGCATGGCAGGATACGCCCGCAGAATACACGAGCATCGAGGAGGGCACGAGCATCAAGATGCTCAACATCCGCGATCGAAGGCACATGTTATCGTGACTCACCACTGTGTAAGATGGCTCGACAGTATCTCGAGGAGACACGGGCACATGACTATATGAACACATGTACAGGTAAATGGACTCGCGCACCTGCAGTAGATCTCTGTGCTCGGCCCTGCCATCGCTGGCAACTTCCTCAGAATGTTCGATTCCAGCTCTTGATATTAATACACCTACACTTGAACGGGTTACTTACTGGTAGTAGCTGCTGCCCGGTCAGATGAGGTCTTCCCACGCTACATTTAGCGCTCGCTCGAGCATCAGCTGAGGCTTGAACGCGTACTACGGTATTTGGACCTGTGAAGACGTTACATGTCCTGAATAGTGATGGTACGGTCGTCTTTCAAGCTCGTGGAATACATTTTTACCCTCATAAATATCAGTATTGGTAGATCTTCAATATTTGGAGAGGCACAGGTACCGCATTCGGTTCTCGCTAAAACGCGCTTAAAGATCTCATGGATGTCCTTCCTCGCTCATGCAAGGTCGCTGAGGCCGCACTGTAAACAAATATGGGTGCAGGTGGTCGGCTAGCCCAGTGAGTACATCTCTGAGAGAGGCATCGCTGCGTCTCCAGTCACCTACGATACTGTCCATCCCTGAACGGACGGGAAATGGGCCATGCGAGCAGCAAGCCGGGAGTTTATGACCATATTTAACTGTCGGCTCAATTGCAACTAAGGACCGAGATGCATGGTGCCGTGTTCTTCTCATACGGTGTTTTCTAAAGAAGCGAGGAGTCGAGCGAACACTCTTATGTTTGCAGCTATTCGATCCCGCTGTACTTCATACGCAAACGGCTGCGAGTTTTTCGATTCCTGGAAGATGTGATTATCTAGTCGCGATTTATAGATGCAGGTATGTTGTCTCGTTGTGCTGGATGTCTCGAGATATATGCTGATTCCTTTGATAACGAAGATGGGGCGGAGTGCTCGCACCAGATCCACTCAATGGCTGTAGCCAGGGCACGTTGGTCCTTTTACGAAAGCATGGCCCAAAATGCCACCGTGTCAAAGAGCGATCCACAGTGTACCCCTTCTTTCCGCGCACCTCGATCGAAGGCCGCCACGACGTCATAGGTTGCGATCGTCCACAAAAGGCAGGACGACGAGGACGCGTTTGACAGAAAGTCGAACATGGCGGAGGGGACGAATGAGCGTCGCTTACATACGCTGGCGGCGCGACATAAAGTCGGCCATGTTCGACTTTCCTCTCTCTCTCCAGCACTATCACCACCCCGCATCCTCTCGCAATATGCTCATCCCAATTCAGCTCATCTTTACCGGTCTCCTGGCGCTCCTAGCGGCGCTGCACGGGCCCAACCTGCTCGACGTGCACGGCATCGACGTGCTCATTGATGGCGTCGTCACCGGTGTCGTCGTTGCTCGCGACCGCACGGACTATCTCGTGTATGTCTTCGCTTCCATTCTACATCTGCTTGGGCTTACTGCCTTTCAGTCGGACAGTCGTCGACTCGGCGGTGTCGAGCACGTTCCGGTTGTTCGACACCCCTCCCCAGACAGCCCTCCGAGACTGTGGTCGCGTCGACGTTATCTACGTACCGGTTCTCGTGGGCAATGTGTCAATGAACCTGGACAACATGGTCTGCCCCGCCGTCTGGGATGTGTTCATGGCGCCCGACATCGTTCTCCCTGCGGCCTCAGCACCGTCAAGCCCGCACGTCAAGGGCCGTGATACGTCGTTGTTCGCACCGCTCGTCGACGTTGTCAACACATCCCGGCCCTTACCATGGACGCTCATCACGACGCAACCTGCCTCGACCGTCGACGTCTTCACGATGCCCTCCACACTCCCACTCGAGGGCATCACCTTGTTTGATCTCATCACCATTCTCCTCATCATGCCTGTGGTCGCTGTCGCGTTCCTCATGAAGCACAGGGTGCCATCCAAGATCCGGAAGCAACTGAACGTCGAAGCGGGGCCTAGAGCCTCTCCGTTCAACCCAGCTATGCCGGACACGCCCAAGGTAATAGCTAGTACATCCTCATCAAGCATCGTACTCATGAGTCATTGCAGCCTTCAACGCCGCATATCACCACATCGGAGACTCCCGAGACCCCCGAGGGCTACTACGTCGACCTCGAGTACACCCCAGACCCCGTCGAGTTCTTCATGTTTGTCTTCACTGACGTGACCGACTTTCTCCTGGGACTCGTCAAGGACGTCGTCTTGCCTTCATCGATCTCAAAGGACGACGAAACACTTGGATGCTTTAATTCTTTCTACGAGTTTATGGCCGAGCTTAAACTAGTTCCCTCGGTCCTCGAGGTTGGTGTCCTTGCTCGTAACATTGAATGCCATGCTGATATAGATTGCCAGAGTGTCGACGCGTGTGGGCAGCAGAGTCCGGTACTCTCGTCCCCGTCGATGCCCTCTAACGTTGTAGAAGACATTCAAGTGTCCCCGTCCCCAGTCGAAGATGATGTTCACATGACCGTCCCTCCCGCAACTTCCCCTGCTCCTCCCACGGCACCGTTACCGTCGCCTCTTCTCCCCGCCTTCTCCCTCTCCTCGCTACCTGCTATCAAGTCGCCCGTCGCGCAGCCATCTAAACAGCCAAGCAAGTCATGGGCATGGGCCATCGATCTATACCTGCGCATTCGGGCCTCGCAGGATATTCAGGATAGCAAGCCATCTCAGTCTGCATCTCCAGATCCGACGAGGTACCGTCCTATGCCGTACTTCAAGAATGGCACACTCCAAGAAGGCATCGTCGATACGCACGTCGGATGGAACGAGCCACTCGCGTTCCCAGACGCGGCCGAGGAGAACGATCCGGTACCGCGGTCGGTCGCACGAGAGCGGCTCTACGACGTGATGAATAGTGGCGTTGCGCGCAAGACATCCGGCGCGAGCGTCGAGCCAATGTACATCCCAAGGACGCGGAGACGGAAGCGACGAAGGAAGGGCGACGCCCCCAATGTCACAGAATCGAGCGGAGCGACAGCTGATAGTGATGCGCCTACTACGTCTGCGTCTGCCCCAAAGGCCGCACAGGTACGTGTTTGTTCTTTATCGTGCTGGACGGACGACGCTGATTCAACCGTGGTCAGCCGCCTCTCCGGCAGAGGCCTGTCATCGCGCGAGCGGGACTCGCTGCGGTCCGAGGCGTACTGGCACCCCCACCCCGCCGACCCAGAGTACCGGTGAGCTCTCATCCCTGTATTAATGTATTCATTATATTAACCTTTTGCAGGCTGTCGCTCCCGTCTCTCCCGTCTCTCCCGTCTCTCCCGTCTCTCCCGTCGCCCCTCCCCCGCCTCCGCCAAGGATCACATCGATTGTGGTTCACAATGCAAGCCCATCCACGAAGCCTGGTCTGCTTCCTCCTAGATCCCCCATCCTCCCTCCGTCCGACGACCACTGGAAACCCTTGATCCGCTCCAACGAATCATCCTCCTCCTCCTCCAAACTGCCTGCAGCTCGTGTCCGTATGCTTCCCCCTCCCTCCTCTGACGCTCCCAGAATCTCTCGCGGACCTTCTATGACTGTGGAACAATCGCTATTCAATGTGCCTGTCCGCGTCATTTCTGGCAAGCGAGGCAAGGGCAAGCAAGTCTCTCGGTCAATGGTGTTCCATGAGGCACTCGACTCGCTTCAGGAATCACACGAGGAATCCGATACCCCCACCGCCATTCAGTGAATCACATCTCCTAGAAACCAATCCTCACCCACCTTCATCTTGTGTCCAATTCCTACAAGACATCCCTTCGAGCCGCCCTCCTCGAGGTTGATTATTCCCGGCCGTCAAATATCATGCGCCGCAGACCACTTATAGCCCTAGATTATCTTATACCCATCTCATTACTCAAGGAGCGATCTTTCTTTTTGTATGGACATTATATCTCTTCCCTGTAGCATCAACGTCATTTTATGGTGTCCTCCGTGTCTCATTCTACACTAGTCCATCTCCGCTGTTTACAAATGCCTCGCGCGCCTTGATACTTACTCGAGACGCTATGTGTGACTTATCTTGAGATGTGTGCAATCTTCCCTGTGCGGCAGAGTTGGATTAATCGTGTGGTGGAACTTTCTCGGCTTGCCTGAGATGCGCTTTGTGCCAGATTTGCATGATCCAGGATCATTGTAAAAATAATAGTCTAAAGATACACGCTACGCGATACGAAACAATGGGAAATAGGATGCGCCACTAGTCTGGATCGCAGGCTGATACAGTAGAAGGGAATACTTGAGAAGAGAACGGACAGCACAAACTAACCTGAATGGGTGAAACCGACCATGGGCTGGTCGTATCTAATGTTCGTGTTGAAGTCGGTTTGCTGCATAGACCCCATCCAGTTGAAGCCTGTACGAACATTGGTTTGAGTTTGAAATGCCCATATGCATGCACCAGTCATGGACGTACCGGGCAACACCATATCTGGCCAGTCCGTGATCGACTGCATCGACTGCAGAAGCTCCGAGTCGTAGAAGAGAGGCGGAGAGAAGAAGCCCGGAATGTCCAGGTCAGACGTGGCTGTCGGCTGCGCTGCGTACTGTGGCGCCCCAGCAGCGATCTGAGCTTGCTGGAGCTGAAGTAATGCAGATGGTGGCGGAGGCGTGTCCGGTTTCGGACTGGAGGCGGCGCTCGACGTCGCCGGCGGAGGAGACAGCGATTGGCGCGCAGAGAGCGTGCCAGGCGCCTGCGATGGCGAGGACCGTGCCGATGACTGTTTTGAGGGCACGCGCCGAGGCGACCTGACGGATGCTGGCGACTGGTCTACCCTTGCCATGGGAGTGGCCAGCAGCCCTTGCAGAAAGCGGGAGTAAAGCTTGGGGCCGTGGCGGTCATCGATGGCCACTTCTGGCGAGCTCAAGAGGTCGATCACCCGTTGGACGAGATCTCTGATCTCGACGCGCCGTTCGCGAGAAAGGTGCTGCGCGTACTTGGGTTGCAGGAGCTGTCGATTGCATGATTCAGTGTCTGCACGGCACAACGCTAGCGCTTCGTGATTTACCTTGACCAAGAAGGCCGAGGCGAACGTGACAAAGACACACTGGGCTTCTGGGCCGTGCCGGAGGTAGATTTCTGGTCGGACGTCAGCTAAGAATACGTCTTCCCCACCATTCCACCTTACTTTGGCTAGGTATCGCGATATCCTCGACGACAGCTTTGACAGTATCTGTTGCGGCCCAAAGGCACTACAGAGGGGGGGGGGGTATCAGCTTCTGTCATTCACACAGAAGTCTAACCGGAACCTACCCGCCAGAGGAACGGCCCCTCATCCGTCGCAGCCGCCTTTCCGAAGGAATACTGGAAGCCCACCGGCAGCACCGACAGACGCGCATAGCTGAACGCGAGCTTGAGAAGCCCCGTGCGGAAGTGGCTCTGCTGGTCGCCCGTGTTCGCCTCGCACACATGCGGATCCATGTCTCCCACAGCCGCGCCAAGCGGTCGTCCGTCTCACTCGCGATCTTGGCCAGATCGCCCTCCTACAAAGCAAACGCAAATACATACTGCAGCGAAGTAAATACCCATGCAATTTGCTAAAGGAAACTTTCTTGAGCACGCAGTGCAGAAAGACGACGAAAAAGCAGATTACCGAAGGCTCTCAAAGATATGATTGACTATGAGAGCACATGAGAACGGCTTGCAATGGCACAAAAAGCACCAAATCATACCGTGTGTATTGTCAGAGGCAATCGATACCATTTTTGCGGCAGGACTGCGAGAGCTCTGTGGTCAGCTCTGTCCTCCTCAAAGTTCAGAGTATTGATTAACGTTTACGGATGCAGTATCTGTGAGGCAGTAAATTTTGTGGACTCGTGCTGTTATCACGTACTGGCTGTTGCACTACTGCAATTATGAACCCCTGCCGGGACATGAGTGCGACCATAATGCGCTGACAGAGTTACGGACTCACTCCAAGAGCCCAGACAACCAGAAATCGTGAGCTTGACATTCAGTAGACACTACCATGAACGCACTGTCCGTTTCCATGATCATCTGTACTCATGCACGCAGACGTACATACCAGACTCACGGAGAGATTGCCACATTGCGCAGAAAGTCTTCGTGGTGTGTTACGTTTTCCACCCACGAGACCTGATGGAATATCGTTATGCTATGGCGCATCAAGTGTCATGTCAAATGGGGAACGATACTAGCCACTGCAATTGACACCATTTTGATCGTATCCAGAAAGCTCATAACATAAAGCATTTCGCTTCATTCCCGTAGTAGTACTGAATCGTAGGATTTAGGACTCACTTCACCAGAGAAAGGCAACCTTTGACGCAGCCTTAAGCCTGATGTACGCCTTCATATAACATTTGGCTTACAAAGCATTTCAAAGATACGTGATCCTTGGGGTAATGGTGAAAACTGTATGTGCGAGTGACAATCCATAGAGCCTGAAATTTATTGGATTAGTCTGACGCTTGAGAGTGAGTGTACGTACGTGGAACTGATTATGCATCCAATAAAATACGCGCCGACCGTATTGTTGAGCAACGTGGCAGGGTTGGTCATAACTCACAATAAGCGGATTAAGGCAGATGAAAGAGTAGACCTAGTACGGTAGGCGGATGTGGTATCTGAGAGAGGCGACGTCCTCGCCTTTGTATAGCTTTATATTCCAGCAAAACTAATAACGACGGGCCTCCTCTCACAGATTTTTGGGGGGCAATGTGGGGCAGAAACTTACGGCAGGCATCGGCAGTGGTGCAGATGTCTGGCTACTGATGGTCAGATTGAGGAAGCTACTGGCGTCGCGCCGTGGGGTGCAGAGTTCATCGCTGTCTGCCATTTCACCCGGAAGCAGAGGGTAATGGAGTAGATTTTGACGAATATTGACAGGGCGCGTCCCCGAGCGCCGAGCGCCGCTATGCTCCATGCCGCCTATCTGCAATTTTTGCGAAGGTCTATCGTGATGAGGTTTGCTGTCATAGACAGCATCCGCTATCATAGTACCTGATGCATCATATCGAAGATGAATAATTGGGTATGGGTAAGCTATAGGCACGTATAAGGCTCGAGCCTGGGCCGGCAGGTCGTGGATTGAGTGACAATATTCTTATCTACAAACATTCCGCGCGCGAGCTACGCAAGCGTGTGGGTTAAACTGAGTCGAATAGCCAGTATGCCTTAGTCTGTTGATTGACCGTAAGTGGAAGAGGTTGGAAGTTGTCAAGGATTAAAGACTTATCATAGCGTCTCCTCAAGAGCGCCTCGGACGTTTCCGTATGCAGATCAAACTTTATTTTGTCACTGTCCTCCCGTCGTTCAGGTGGCAGGTCGCCCAATCTTTGAGTCCGGACAAACGCGCGGCCTTTTGCGTGCTGTATGCTCCACGCTAGCTTGTCGAATTCAAAGAACTAGCAGGCCGGAAGGTCTGTACACCGCCGCCAAGAGTCCAAGTAGATGACGGCCGACGATGCTGGCGCATCCGACACCAAACCCCTTCCGGTTTTGAGTCCGCGAGATACGTAACGGTCTCCGGGGGTGTATCGATGACAGTTATTTACAAACACGTCATCCTATTGTGCGTGCTTCATTTTCAGCGAAAGCTGTAGCTTGAGAACATTGAAACACCCCTGCGAACTGCTAGAGTGGCAAATGTACATGTGGTCTCAGCACACCACGAAACCTGATTGTAAGCATCGTGTACCGCCCACTCCGCTTCATCGCAAACAGTAATTAGTGATTGGACATTGGTCTGCGAGCATGAACCTGACCTTCTTAGCGCGTTTCGGCTGTCGTAGTTGTCTCGACTTGAACCTGCATAGCGTATGAATTCTGACGGTATCCTGCTTGTCCTCCTTGATTGATACTAAGTAATACATTGTCTCCAACGTATCCGCCGGGTCTATCCGACTTGAAGTGGTTGCGCATGTTGAGCCTTCGCATTGAAGACATGGTCATGAGAACGCAGTTTCCACGTCGGCATTTAGCACTCACAATGCGAAGAGAGAGTTCACATAAACTGCAGAAGATAATCCTCAGGCGTCATGGTAGATCCTTACACGCTAACTCACGTTTACTTCCCGGGTAGTATAAAGCTAGCCAGACCAATTCGAACGGGCTCGCATGCAAAGTGCCAAGGAACTATAACCTTGTCAGCAACGCATACATGTGGTTCTCAAATTAGATCTCTTGCCGTAGCGAACTCGAGTAGCTGGACAAGACTTGATGCAGGTCAACTTCGAAACAGCGCCAGTCTATACTGACGACTTACGCGACAACAATTCCGCGGTGTATTATGTAGAGGACAAGCGACATTATCATGTGGTCTGTGCTGGGCATCCCATCAGCTAAGCTGCATGCATTGCGAATGAAAGGTAAAATCAGGCATACCCGTGGAATCCAGTTCTCTTCCTGTGCAGTATCAACGATAAAGAGACTGCGATGTAGACATCCGCAACTCCAGCCATCAATATGTGTGTACAGCCAGGGACCTGGACGGTTGCGAGTTATGATCAAACCATTATGTTAGTATACCGGACGAACTGCAGCGTTCTGGATAGCAACCGCGATGTTGGAGTTCTTCTCACTGCGGAGGTCTTGTGAGCATGCGGCAATCAAAACTATATGATTGAATTAACTCACAGATTACAGATGGTTGCTGCCATTCATGGTCGGTCATATGTCAGCTGCTTCCAATGCGATATACAGGTACACCCTGCATACCGATACAGAAGCCTATTGGATATGAGGATCAGATCGATGATAGGTATTAATATAGCGACAAACCAAAGGATATAAGGCACATGAGTCCCTAGTAAATCCTTTCGATTCGGTATCTATGCACAGCATTACCGTTCGAGACGTACCACCGTCATAGTCAAAAGCAATTGATATTGCCGGTGTTCAGCAACTTCTCAGATGCAGTAAGCAAATAGAAGATCTGATATTTACACAGCTCACCTCTCCAGATGCAATAAATGAAATACCTGTCGACGGGATCTTATATATTTCAATTCCACAGGCAGTTGAAAATTCACACACATTTGCACAATTAATATAGTTACACCCTATTCATCGTCAGATCGTCAACGTGCGGCTCCTATATTTACACGTTGGCTTACCTCAAGGAAAAAGTCGGCCTTCAGCGGAAATATCAGCAAAAAGTCGGTAAGCATGCGCTTGTTGATGGCATACCAGGAAGCTCCTAACAGATATCCGTGAATGCACGAATCGACGTCAGGATGGGATGACGCGCCTTTCAACTGTGAGAAGGGCGAAAGGATTGGAGTGGTTTGTTACGTTCCAGATCCAGATACACTGAGCTGAGTTTCAATATTTTTACGTAGAAAGCTCCGGTTGAATATCACGAATCCTCACCCAAATTTCTGTGATCGTTCTAGCTGTGTCCAATGACCTAGAAGTGTTCTTGGGGAGAGGTCATATATGCAGAACACTCGAGTACATACCATAGTAATGCAACCTGAGAACAATTATGGTGCTCAGACAAAATGGTTTCTAGTAATGGATTCAAGCACGTACGAAGAGTTTCAACCATATGCGGTCCAGTGAATACCACCGCATGTAATACAATGTTTGGGCACAGGTAATGCCATACAGACTTTGGGACTTTTGAATCAATGTATACAGCATTCTATTATCTCACTCACAAGGTGCCGATAATGCTGCCGATGAGGCTACAACCGATAGTACTGTTCAGTTGCGCGTTCAAACTCATTGAAGATGCAGCGGAGGCGTGATCACCGAGGGACCGTAGAAGGCAGATAGATGTCACCTTATAGCATGATTTATTTACCAATCCTAGAGGATATCCGAGGCTGTGTCGGCAAGAGATCTGTCAAAACATCTGTGCCGCTGCCTTATCAGACAAATCCCTTTCTTAGCGGCGAAGTGGCATAACCTTGCCGGATGGAATCCTCGCTAAAAGCGAACACATTCAAGGACCCTATCTCGCCTTTGGTGCCTGGACATACCGGACATGAGAACCACAGTGGAATTTGTGTGGGATTATTCATGAACAGGCCAGCAGTCGACACGCCTGCCGTGAATTTGTTGCTCGATTTTACTTTGCTTACAAGCCGACAATATGTTCTTTTGTTTCCCGATCTGACTTTGTTACTGGCACGCAGTACATTAGAGATATCTGTAGGCGGGCCGAAAATCTGAGCCTGATAGTCGCATAGTTCTGGTTTCTTTGCGTCCTCGAGATTCTGCGGTATGCATAGACGATTGGGGGTCGGGACCGCAATATACGAGAAGGCCAGGTTGAAACACTCAACGATAAATCGGGATGACCGCCTTGGACAGTTCCATTCTCAGGGAAAATGATGAACAAGGCCGAAATGTGATCCTGAGCGAATGTTTGATCACGCTTCCAAATGGTGTGGAACATCACATACCTAATGGTCCATGGAGTGCGGCAAACCTGTCGAAGAATAAAACACATCCGGCATGGAACCACTCAAAGACCCTGTCGTTGTTGACAATTAGCTCATATCATTTCGAGCAACGCCTTGGAGTCACCTCGGTGTTAGTAGCCAGTAAATAAATAAAATCAGCATGATTGCTGTGGGGGGATCCCTTGACATGACGCCGTCGAACGTTGAGAGCTGTTATCGCCCGAGTGGTTCGCATCACCAAGTGGCTTCGGCTATGGTTATTTGAGCCGCTTGGATGTTGGTTTTGAGGCTGGATGCTCCTACAAGCGCCGAACAAGCGCCGACGGCCGTGATCACAATGTCAGAACGAACAGATATGTGTTCATCTTCTGGTACACACTATCACTTCTACATATACATACACTCATTCTCACGTCCAAACGCAAACCTATTTGCTGGATAGTCTGGACGTAGACTTCACCTTGGGAGACTATCTGTCGCTTAGTTTCGCCGTGCTATTGAACTGCAGCTCTCAAGAACGATTCTTCTCAGCTATAGTCACTAGCAGGCTTGTAGGTCACCAACCACAACCAGTGTCTAATTCCACGACACCTCGTACAGGTTACCTCCAAGTCTTGCTCGACATGGAATTGGCAGCGTCCTTGGGTGCCTACGCCTTCACCATCACAACCAATGCTGTGTATCACACCTTCTCTTCGCTGATATCGCTGTCAATGCGGCTCTTGTGGCTATTCGCATGCAAGTTCATCACGCCACATAAAATCTGGCTGGCAGTGCAAGCTCTCCCAACAGTGGTTATCGGTGCTGTTCACTGTATCGACATAGCCGTCAGGATGAGTAAAGTTCTGTTTCTTCCCTTGGTGAGTTTCGCAGCGCCGAACGTAAGACCCTGCGCCAGAGAACGAAACTTAGTCTTTCTGTGTCTCGAGGCCCGCACGCGAACTGGGCGGCGTCATGCTCTGGGTAGTCCGAGTACTCTTGATGGACTCGCCGCTCATAATCCAGCTGCTTCTGTGCTATATCCTTGGCCGCCTCCTCGTCGAGATTGTGGCCTCGGTCAACAAGTTCAAGCTCGACAACCTCCCGGAAGAAGAATATAATCGAATAGCCGATCTCGGGCTTCAATGTCTTGCCGCCCTTGCTCTCCTTCATGGAACAATCTATGTACGACACCTCATGCTCGATTTCTTAGCTGGTTTGGAGTCGACAGTCCATCGTTTCCTAAACCCGGACCCTCTCACCATGGAGTTAGCTGCCGAGTTCAATTCTTGGCTAGGGGACGCCGCTCTCCTTTCTGCGTAGGCATGTACCATGTACCAACCAATAATGTATTTATACGAGACTCGCTTTGTTGTAGTCGTAGCACCATGCGGCTTTCAAGTCGGTTCATTGGTCTCCTCAGAGTCCTCTCGCTGAGTTGGAATTGGTGGCATCTGAACGACGAAGGAAGAGCGGTTCTTCTCTGAGAATGATGTCCGTGTTGCCGCTCTAGCTTTCTCTCGGCCACAGAGATGAGCACACATGATTTGACAGGCCAACTGAGGCTCCGTCTCGCGCAATTGCAATGCAACCTAAGATCAAAATCCGTCGACATCGGCATGTCGAACCCCGATGCACTAAGGTATTACACCACCCATCTATCTACATTGACATGCACCCTACCCTACGCTCTTCCTGATCTTCAGGAGCCGCTTCCCACGAGGACATGCTCGATACTCGGAACACAGCACTAGTTAAACCGCGGACAGCTTTCACATGTGGAGGAAACCCAAGGACTCCGGGACAAAGCACGAGAGGATGACGCTTAGAACGCACAGGTCTCTGCGTAATCTTCAGACCGAGGAGGACGAATCATCGCTATCCTCGGCTTGAGGAGCCGCCTGGAAGCCCGGCGTTGACATCGCGCCCGCCGAACGTACTTTTCCAACTCCACGGAGCATTTCCCCCAAAGCATGATTGAACCCAATCCGCCTGAAACTGAACTTCATTCCCACCATCTCTCCGCTTTCGTACATCGGTTTCACCTCCGTGCGATGCCTCTTATGACCGGACAGGCGAATCAGTTGTTCGCGAGTCTACATTCAGGGGACACACGCCCATCGATGTGTGTTGTATGACTTGAAGAGACAGCAGCTCACCTGATCGGGAAGAGCTATGAAAGCTTCCCTTGACAATTCCTCCGAGTCGGCGTTGGCCGATGTGAAGGTGCCAAGATATTTCCACTCAAACCCGTTGTATGCGACAAATTCCATTTTGTCTCTAAGCAGCTTCTTGTTCTGCACCTTGTTCCAGTTCCCCTTCTTCGTCCGGATACGGGTCGGTCGCACAAGGAATCCTGAAGAAGGAAACTCCCCCCAGACCACGTCGTCTCGTAACTTGACGATAGTCATCGCTCCGCTATCATGCGTAGCGCAGATGAAATCGGCGCACAGAGCGTACAACGAAATGTCTTCACTTACCACGACTAGTAGTGGCATCAGTGAGACAGAAGTACAGGCAGGACTCAACGCTCACTACTTTGGCAGCTTTCAAATATTCCTTGGGATTTCGCTCCAGACAGAAAGTGATCGGTGCGTCGTCGACGGGTCCATCTTGAGGACTTGCAGATAGGAACAAACCACCAGTGGTCTGCACAGGTTGGAGGCCTGAGCCGAGCGCATTGACATTCTGAAGTTGCATGCGTATGCGTGCTATCTCAGCGGTCAGCTCTTCATTTGACGCCTTCCCAACAGCTCAGACGTCAATGCAGAACCAGATGCAGGCACGGGAAGAATAACATACTTCTGCGGCCTCGAGTCGGCGCCGAAGGCGGTCAAGCTCCCCGTTTTGAATGTTGAGAACGATCTGAAGAATGCCAGAGGGAACATCAGCAGTCATGGTAGTCATGGTTGACGCAGAGGAAAGGCTGCAGAGACGAGTCTCACCCACGGACTGCACTTCTGCACCTCGTGCTGATTCAATGAGGTACCGAAGAGCAATCCGCAGACATCTACACGTCAAACTCAATCATGAGAAGCACCCGGACACCGTGTTGGAAGGTCCATCCGTGGACTAGCTTCGACGCGCTCAACGTTTCATTCGGGCAGTCTCCATTCACATCTAGTAAATGTTCTTAGAGCACGGTGGACATTCTCCTCAGTGAGGTGTATTGCAGGACACGGAGAATCGAAACTATGGTCTTGACGCTCAGAGCACCGCAGAC